GTACGTTTGCGAAACACAAAACCACGGTCACAGTAACTCCTTCTCCCCCGGCACGACTGCGTATCATATAGTGCGTCGTAATAAAAATAATATTTTATCACTTCCGAAAAGTTTTTAATTAAAAACTAATGTATTTTCGCACGAATGCGTAATTGAAAAGCGGATACAGTACACACGAACACCCACGCGCACGCGCACACACGTATGTTATAAGTGTAGTCATCTAATTATAAACATTTCGCAGTTCTGTAAAAAAAAAAAAAAAACGAATATTATAATAATGTTTTCCGTGCGCGAGCATGTAAAATTAATTTTGATAATGAAATACTCGCGAAACACACGGTCATTTTTTTAATATCCTCCGACTGACATCGGTGACATCACATAATTTCATGTACATAACACGTGCGGTGCGCGCGTGTGTGTATATAAAATCCATTCCCGCCGTGTCCCCTTTATCACCTCGTACACGTGCACCACCCGCAAATCGTCACACCGTGTCACGGTCTAGTTCGCCGACGACACACACGGTCGAACAACCCGCGTACGCATCCCCTGCGGTGCAGTCGTCGGTAATCCCAACGGGCGTATTTAATTATAACTGGAGCGCTTGGACGTGTATGCACTCAAACTTACTGTAACATGCATGCATTTTATGCGTAAAAAAAAAAAATGATCGCATTCGGTTAGTGCGGCGCTCGGAATATACGTTTTACCCTGTGCGATCAACAATTTAAAATGCATTACAATCCACGAGCGTTTGGTTTAATCTTTAAACATCGAAAGTAAATTATTTACTCGTTTGCAGTGCAATCGGCGTAGCGTTGAGCGATACGAATAACAACAAATCCGGGTCCACAGAAAGCACACATTAAAACAAAAAAAAATCCGCGTATTCGTGTCACAATAGGGATTAGTGAGAATATATTGTATTAGAACACCATTTTAGAATAGAAAATGTACCGTAATCATTTTACCAACATGTTCGGTTGGCACGTAAGCAATAAATATGTTCGGTTGGGTTAAGCACATTTATTATAAGATACAGAAGACGCGTGAATGAAAGGTCTTCTACTGTAGCGGTCGTGTTACTCGACTACTACGGGAAACGTGTGTGTTATTTCAAGTGTTACCTTAATTCAAATTGTATGCCTGTGCCAATGAGTTCGATTCGATTGATGTGCATGGCATTGGGTAAATGATACATCGTTACATTGTGATAACATTTTTTATTTTTTTTACGTTATCAAACTTATGAATGCGCACAAAGTAGATTTTTGCGCGAAAACCTTTCAACATCTATTGATTATACATGAAAGTGTAATATAAAAATTCTGAAATTATTCGAATAGCTGATTCAAATACTTCGTCTGTGTAAATTGTATCAAAGAATTTCGAAAACCAATTGAAATATGCATTTATATTCTTGCGATGCCGAATTTGAATTTCAAATAAAAATCCATAAAATTCGCAAAAATACACAAAGTAAAAATAGTATTATTTGATTCAGTAAAATATGGGTTATGTTGGACAAATAGAAAAATATGCAATTCCATATACATCCGAGTCCTAATTATAATATTGACTACGAATCACGCGTGACACCTCGTGGATATATGTGTACGTCTACGAAATTAGTTGTATTAATAATGATGGTAATAATAGCCATAACAAATATTATTAATAATGATAATATTATTTATAGTTAAGATAGTGATGACAAGATTGCACCTATATATGTACTTTTTGAACCAAAGAAATACGCACATTAAACTCTAGGTACAAATTATAAGCGTTTACTCTTGGTTTCCATTCCGTAATTAAACTTAAATATTCAAAACAAGACTGGTAAAGTAAAAGCACTCATATATTCGTGTAATATATGATACTCGTAATTTTAATGGATTATATTATATTTACTCAGTAGTAAATATATCGTGTGTGTGTTGTTTGTGTGTAGATAGTTGTATTTGTTTAAGGCAGTTATCGAATAAGGAATACTAAATGGTTTAAAAGCATCCTTTTTACATTATGACCTTATAAAATGTAGTTAAAATTGATTTGATGTATTCAAGAGTCTGAGCGGATTAACCACGGTGTTGATTTTACCATATGTGTTTGTCTATTTGATTTTTACCAGAATAGAAATGCTCCAAAGGATGGTTTTTGAAAGGAAATTTGATCAAATTGAAGGGCATTATTTGAGTTTTTCAACATTTTTCAAAATAAATGATAAAAATGATTAAATAAATAATAACTTGAAAAACTTTAGTACAATTATAATGTAGCTAAGAAGCAAAACAAAAAAAAAAAAAAACAGAATACATCACGATCGCTGTTCATTTGATCGAGTTTGATTAAAAAATAAATATGTTTAACTAAGTTGTACAAGTAATATTCTGTAATATTACGATTAACTGAACAATTTAAATTTATTGCTTATTAATAATTTACGAAAACATATATTTGTGTTCACTAAGCTATTTTGAGAAGTTTTTTTGTTACTAATATATTTGCTCGTATCCGTCCACTTTTGACAGTTATCATATATTGTGTAGTGAATGCAGTCAATTATGCAGTTCTACAACATAATTTCTATTTTGTGTCATTTTAATCAACAACTCCTGAAATTTCAATTCACTGGCATTTCTTTCGTCAATAACGCACTGTTAATTTTAGTAAATCTATTTAATCAAATAAACAAAAGTAATATAAAATAAATGAATACCTCGGTAGTCGTGTTTAAATCTTAAACACAAATTAATTAATAATTAATTTAATTTTCTTAATTTTAAACACAAATCGCTTCGTCTATCATTATAATATAATACAAGTTCCTATGTGCTTAAATCCGATTTTTCATAAATATTTATAAATTAAAGTTTTATGATAAATACTAGCTTAATTAGCCGGCATCGCACAGAACATTTTTGGCCGTAACATATGTTTTAATGGATTATTACTTTACACCATTTAAAGTCAAGTTTGGTGTAACTGTTGGTGGTTATAAAACAAATAAAACGAAAGTTCAAATGAATCGGTATAGTAATTTTGGTAATACGCTGAATTACCTCTGAATTACCGTATTTACTGGTTCCAATATTTTTGAAAATCCCTTCTTATTGCATTTATTGAATATTGGAGAGACTACCATGTTAAATTTCGAGTTCATATAGTTTTGAGATGCAGCGATGGTCAGTGAGGAGTAATACTTGACGTTGTCCGTTGAGAAAATTGTGAGTGTTCAACTCTATTTGGGTGTTACCGTTGAACCTATACCTTTTTAAGTATAAATTACCCGAAATAACAGTTGAAATATTACTAATATTACTAATCTTCCTATATTGTTAACAATATTTAAGTATATACTAATATCCGTACAACAATGTTCAATATGAAAATAGTTGGCCAAAAATCTATTTTTTTCAAAACTAGTTAAAAATAATATACTATAAATTAATTAAACTATAATTTCATTCTTAATTGATTTTTTTAATTATGAAGCAATAAAAAAGTATTCAATATAATTCTGTCTTATGGGGGATAAAACATTTTTAATGATAATCATAAAATAACATGATATTATTCCTTTTTAATATTTGTTATTACAATATATTTAAAAATAGTTCATTTATATAAATTATATTATTCTGAATATTCATTACTATTATCATTCGTGTAATTTTAGGAATTAAAGCCTTATTTTTAAATATTTTTATTTTATAAATAAAATTTGTTCACAATAAAATGATTGACTCACCAAAATTTAACGGCTTACTCCAACGAGTTGCGCAAGAATGCGCACCTAAATAATATACATTTTTTTTCAATAGATAAGGGTTCTTATTTGATATCAATATATCTGTAAAAATCGTCGAAAAACATTATTAATTTTATAAACTTTAAAAACGTATGGATTTTTCTTTGTAATATAAACGTATACATTTCCACTACTATTACGGGTCGATAATAATCGTTACATGATAATTGGGTCATTAAATAATATCAGTAATTCATATATTATGTCAAATGAAAACATTTTGGTTGACTTTTATTTTATTTGGCGGGGACAATTTAACTAAGAAATTTAATTATGAACCAAAAATCGCAATATTTTTTAAAATACTACATTTTATCTACTTAAATGTTTTATTTTTTCATGAATATAAATACATTATGCCATTATTGTTGTACAGTTATATACCTAAAGTTCTGTACAAAATATATACAAAAGAAAAATTTGAATTTTTTGAAATTTAAAAAAATCATTTTTGGCCAACTATTTTCATTTTCGGACCATTATGCAACGGTTTTTGGAAACGAAACCTCCGGTTCGTGTCCGCGATTCACGCGTGAACACCGTTGCCAACTCGGAATCCGTCCGTAGCACGCAGTCGTACGAGCGTTTTAGCGGAAACAAAAACGAGCTTTTCCGACGCGTGCACAAAAGCCGGTGACGCGCCGGGGAAATGTGTGAAATGTAGTTCCATGGAACAGGAAATGTATTCCGTTGCTCGTGAAACGCGCGAGTACAAACGCAGCAACGCATACTGGTATGTTGCCGAACCTTTATAGCGAAAAAAAAATATTTTTTATACGAGTTTCACCGAACGCATTTCATTCCCCGAGCAATCGTTCTTTCGTTCAATCCCGGCACGGTTAACAACGGAAATAATTATGCAATCACCTACGGGCATTGTCGGCCTATCCATGGCCGCTAGGTTCCCATTCCTAAAGGTTTATAAACCTTCAAAGTAATCATTGTAATTAATATTTTTTTTACGATCGATTCGTTATAGTTTTAATTATAAGTGTCCTAAAGTGAACTAAAAAAAAATAATATAATAAAAAAAAAATCAACTGTACAATTTGTATATCATTAAAAAAGAAATATATTAAGTTGCTCACTTAAACGTATAAAATATATAAAATATATAACGTGCATTAATATTAATGTACCTAATCTATTATGTGATTAAGTTAATTGTTTGTGCATTTTAAATAAGGCACCCGGGTCGCTTTAAGTATCCGGCCAACACGGGTCACAGATATTTTTCATTCAGCTTTTTCCTTCGATCAATAAGCACCGGCGGCGCAACGCGACTAGATCGTCGGACGACATAATAGTCGGACCGACTAAAATGAGCTGTGTGGACTAAACGGAAGATTAATAAAAAAAAGGAAAAATAATAACGAAGTGAATTCGTTCCGTGCGCACGTCGACCGCGAAATGTGTTTGAGAAGCCGTACGAGACAAATTTTCCCTGGCGCGCGAGCCGCCGAAGCTCGTCACTACCCAGTCTACCCTCGAAACGAAATCCCTTCGAAACGTTATCAACAATATCTATTTCATATAGATTAAAAATATATTAGTATTGATATTTGATGAATATTAACATTTATATTTATTAAACACAGATTAATTCAGAGGTCAGAGGTGGTGGGCACGTGCCGCCGCATCGCGTCAATCGTCAGTCCCGGAAAACGTGACGGCGTCGCTCACGGTTACGTTGTCGTTGTCGTTGCCACCGCCACTGTTGTCGTTGTCGTCGTCGTCACCGTCTTCGCTGCGGTTGGCGCGTCGGCCGCGACCGCAAACCGACCGTCGGCCGACGGCACCCGTCGTCGTCGTGGGGCCGCGGTAAGAGCCGGCGACCGGTTTGTTGACGGCTAACCGCCGACTTTTGCCCATCAGCCCGTACTTATCGGACAGCGAGAAAGGATTGGCCGCTGGCACGCGTCCGTCCCGCGTACCGCCGATGCTATCGTCAGACCACGCGTCCGACGGTTCGCTTTTCTGCGGACGAGATTAGCACATTACCGAAGGACCCACCACCATCGGGCTGACGAATCTTCGGGCCGAAAAATATAACAATAATACACAACTGTAGCCGTTTTTACAATTTTACATTATTCATTACGTTCTCATATCTGAGCTTATAGAATTCACTGTAAAAACTAATACACCGTTTACAGCAAAATACCACAAAAACTTGTTAATATTTATTGACTTCGATAACAGTTTAATCATCATTTGTATCCTATACATAATCGCAAAAATGCAACAGTTAAGTACTCAAAGCTATCACCAACAATAACAAGTATTAAAATTATTGTTTTCTATATCGGATTTAAAAATACTTTCTTCATTTTTTAATAAATATTTTATTCTATATTTTTAATTAATAAATTATGAATAATCTTTTTTTATGATTGAGTTTATACGCTAAACTTTTTACACAGGGAATTTGAAAATAATATATGTATATATATATATATATATAATAAATAATGTAAACTGTAAAATATTAAAAATTGTATTTTATCATATTTTGTCGGTTTTGTAGACTGTTGCGTCTACCCGATGATTGTTGGCCTAATGTCATTACCGCCGCCGGCGTTGTACGGATTTGGCGTGTGGTTGGAACTTACCGACCTAACGCGGTGCGTATCATGCGCTACGATGCGGAGATGCATAACATACAATACATATATACCATAACGTTACGCGCACCGGGGGTCGCCAACCTTTTCAACCGGATGAGCTGCAACTTGGTGACCGACACGTCTAGAAGACTGTAGGACATTTCATCGACCAACAATTAATTTTGCCAATGGTGTACAAGAAAATAAAAAATATAAAGTGAATCTATTAACGTGATGTCCCATTAGTTTTCTAACATTTTACGACAATTGACCTGTATTTCTAGAAAGATTAGTTGGCGACCCCTGTGCACGTTTTTATTGTTCGTTGTGCGGTAAAGTATCGATTCGGTGAAGGGGGATGACTATGGCAAGAGTAAACGACACACAGTGGGAGGAATCATACTTTTATCGCGACAAAAATAAAATTTGAACTATTAACATTTTGATAAAAATGCAGTACAAAATTCTTCATTATAAGTTGTCAATCTTATATTGAATGCTTATTTTATCTTTATTACGTTTTATCAATAGCATTAGAAGTTCAATTAGCGCGATATTTTCATTTCACAGCGGCTTTCTTGACAGTACGCACGTCCACAATAAATATTTGTTATAAGTATTATAGAAAGTTACATTATTTAGTTTTTTTTTTTTTTTTGATAATTTATTTTGTGCTACGGAAACTTCTAAACGAAGTGTGTAATAATTATTAAGAGTTTAATTTACTCTCCAATCAACAATAAATCGTTAAAACTTTAATAACAAAATAATAAAAATATGTCATAATTTAACAATTATAGTAATTTGAAAAAAAAAGCACATAATAGAGCCCCGATTTTTATTAAAATATTTTAGTAAACATACTATTTAGTAAAGTTTTAAATATTGTCTGCCCAAAGTCGCCCATTTAATTTCTATGATTTTTTTTTTTTTTTTGTAGATAACATTACATACCGTGATTTATTCGACGACCTCAGAAATTTCCAACGACAATTAAACCCATGCTCTGTGAGACCCGTTTATTTTTATATAATTATATTTCCAAAAAAATAAATCATTCTATTGATAAAAAATATGAAAATTAATTGAAATGTAAAATTTCAGGATTTATAACTACGTTAAATCGCAAGTGGTCGGCCGTAAATCATACTGCAACTAAATTTATTTCTATAAACGAGGGGTGGTTTGGTACCGAATTTATTTTGCCGCAATATGAAAATAAAACAGTTGATAAACGCGGTCTTCCATCAAAATTATTTTATGATGTATCTGAAAGATCTAAAATACGAAAAGTAAAATCGTTAGTGGACACAACATCGCCAGAAAGATTATTACGGGCGACAAGAGTATCACTTTTTAAAGAAGGTAAATATACAGCAGCTGATTTATTAAAACAGTCAACAGAATATTCTCCCAGTCGTCCTGTAAATATTAGGAAATATTTTCGTGAAACGTTGAAGGGGAAAAATATAACACCATATACTTTAGATGAAGCTCTAGCTCATATGGTAAATTGTCGCATGACAAAAAACGTTTATCATCAAACTCGATTAGGTTTAAAAAATAATGGAGTCAATGTGTATCCTTCATATGACCGCATACGAGAAACAAAGAAACTATGTTATCCTGAAGGTTTAAAAATATATGAATATGGTACATTTATTCCTCTCCAAATTTATTGGATCACACAGTTAGAAGAATTTTTCAAACTTTTGATTTAACTGAAAATTTTCATTTTTTCGAAAAATATGTTAAGGCTAAGCTTATTTTTAAACGAGGTACTGATGGTAGTTCAGGTCAAACTGAATACCACCAAGGATTTACCCAAAATACTCACTTTATACAAAATGATCAAAATTTAAATAGTGATCATGATGATGACTTAGAAGAATTTGATGAACAAAACATAGAATATATTGATGCAAATATGTTTTTATTTTCTTTGGTTCCTTTGCGGTTGACCTTTACAGCGTCTGATTCCACTAATGATATACTTTAGAAAAATCAAACACCACTTTCGACACGTTACTGTAGACCAATTAAATTTTTATACAAAAAAGAAACAAAAAATAATACTCGTGAAGGAAATTGATAAAGAAATAAAATCATTAATCCCAATTGAAATTATGATAAAAAATATTTCTGTACCTCTCAACTGTACATTGGTTATGACTATGGTATACGGTAAAGTGATAAATAATTTAACTGATACTTCCAGTCAAAGATGTTTTATTTGTAATTGTGGACTAAAAAATATGAACGATTTAAAAAATATACAGAAATTCACAATTAGAGAGGATAATCTAAAATACGGGCTTTCAACGTTGTACGCATAGATTAATTTTTTGAGATGTATTTTAAATATTTCGTACAAATTAAATATTCACCAGTCAACTTCTCATATGACAAACAAACAAAAAGACAAATTAATACAGTTAAAAAAAAAATATTCAACATACATTTTGGAATGAAATGGGATTAAAAACTGATCAAATAGTGCAAGGTGAAGATACTTCTAATACAGGAAATGTGGAAAGATTTTTTTAAATATGCAGAAAAATCGGCAAAAATAACGAGGGTAAATTTAAATTTAATCACGAAACTAGGAAATATATTAATTGCAATGTCAAGTGGATATGAAATCAACCTAGAAATATTTGATCAGTATTTTAAAGAAACAGCTGAATTATACATTAAATTATGCAATTGGTATCGCATGCCTCCTAGTATGTACAAAATTTTGATGCATAGGTTCATAGTCATACAATATGCACTTTTTTCAATAGGACAGCTATCGGAAGAAGCGCAAGAATCACGTAATAAAGATTATTCAAATTTCAGGGAAAATAATATACGCAAAATGTCAAAAATAAGTACAAATACCGATTTAATGCATGCGTTATTAATAAGTTCAGATCCAGTGATTTCTTCTAAGTGAAAAATTCTAAATCCACCTACTACAGAATTAATTACGGAAGTAAAAAAATTATTTATTATAAATAATGAAGAAACAGAAGAAGATTCTCAAATATCTATAGAAAATAGTGAGTCTGATTCAGAATAGTTTTATTGTAAAAATGAAAATTAAATAATTAATACCTCACCAAAGTTTTATTATAAAATATAACATATCATTTACGATTTATGCTTTTGGGTATCAATATAAATGTTAACTCTTTTTAATAATAGTTTAAATTTGATATATTAGTATATAAGTTATCCTTTTCAATCTTGATCTTTTTTTATAGTTGTAAAAATGTTTTCTCCTAAGTTGTTAAAAAACCAACTTTAATTATTTATATAATATTGTAAAATATGGAAAGAAGCAAATATTGAAAAAGGAGTTAGACAAGGGTGTAACTTATCACCAACACTATTTAATCTGTATATTGAAAACACTCTAAAGCAATTAAGAGAAGAAAAAAATGGAGGAATTAAAATTAATGGTATGCTAGTACAAATGTTGCGCTTTACAGACGACATAGCATTGATTGTGGAAAGTGAAGAAGCTTTAGGCAACATGTTAACAAAAATGAATGATAGCTGTAAAGAATACAAAATAAAAATAAATAAGAGCAAGACAAAAATATTAATATGCAGCAAGCAGAAATTGCTTTTGAACATAACGATTGAAAATGAGAAGCTGGAAACTGTTCAATGTTTTACATATCTAGGAAGTAAAATAACACATGATGGAAGAAGCGAAATGGACATAAAGAGCAGAATAGCACAAGCAAAACAGGCATTTTACCAAAAGAAACACCTATTAACGGCAAACACTGTTAGCTTAAACACCAGGAAAAATCTTATAAAGAGTTTTGTATGGAGTATAGCCCTCTATGAGGCAGAAACATGGACGATATTAAAAGCGGAAAGAAAAAAGATTGAAGCATTTGAAACATGGTGTTGGAGAAGAGCACTGAAAATTTCTTGGACAGAGAAAGTTAAAAATGAGGAAGTATACCTAAGAATGAACGAACAAAAAGCAATATGGACGACAATCAAAGAAAGGAGGAAAAAATTGATCGGTCATATTATGAGAAATAATGAATGGATAACGACAATAAAAGAAGGAAAAATAGAAGGAAAAGCTGGAAGAGGTAGACCAAGAACACCATTTATGAAACAGATCATAGACGATATAGGGGAAACCAACTATAAGGAACTAAAAGTAGCTGTAATGGATAGGGATAAGTGGAGAGCCATCAAAGTCATTTAACCAATCTAAATATTGAAAAAAAAAAAATAATAAAAAATAATATTGTATTCAATAATTATGGTTTAATATGTTTTTAATAGAATATTTATCTCTATAATTTGTCAACTAAAGAATATTTAAGAAATAAAATGTTTTTCACATTAAAATACTATCAAATTTATTTTTATCGTGACCTATGTTATGATATGTTTCCTCCCACTGTGCAACGATGTCATTATCATTGCACTCCAATGGTCGCATACGTGACGCAAACGGGATCGGAAATAGCGATACGAACATGTTTCGTTTTGTTGGGGGCCAAACACCTATACCTACAGGAGAAACAATTCGAGATCGTTGTGGAAGGGCTAGTCCGTGTGTTAATAATGATACGGTGCAAGTCGCGTCCTAACGTTACGTCCTTTCCCACGAATTCGGAATCAAAGGTACGTGCACGGGAAATATTGTTTTTTGTCAACACCCGAGGCTGACCGATGTCGCTGTGTACCTTGATCAGTTCGGATATACCGTAGCTCAAACGCGACGTGGCGCACGAGGACTCGGACGAGTTGTTCTTTTTGGCCACCAACATTTTTGGCTTGTTGACGACGTCCTCGTGCACTTGCCTCATCAGATTCTTCTGCAAGTCCTTCGTGTGATCGCTGAGGTCAGACTCGCCATGCACTAGCGCCGGCTTGGTCAACATGCCGCAGAGGCCGTTCAATAACGGTGCGCGATCGCCGCCCGACAAAGAGTTTTTGAACTGTGTCTTCGGCCTGCGATCACATTCAGGTAAGACGAACGTTGCGTCGCCGTCGGGAAACTTACTGAAATTCCAACTCACCCGGACGCGTTCACCGGAATCTGTCTCACGTAGCTCTTCTTGCCAACGTAGCTCTGGAACTTGAGCTTATCGGCCATCGACTCTAGCCGTTCGTTCAGCTCCTTCGCGATGCTCAACTCCATCTGCAGCGCTTTGGTCTTGGCGCTTTCTACGTTCAACTGGTGCTGGTAGTTCTTTTTTTCCAACTCCATTTTTCTAATTAAGTTCTGCGACACAAAATGAAGTAATATATATATTATGTTATTGTACGCGTAATATAAGTGCGGTATTTTAAACATGCTTTGAAAGCAACTCGTCGATATTGCGTCGTAGTTACTCTACATAAACCACTTTGATATCTCGTCTCGGTTCATCACTCCGTTACAGTCATAACTAATAATTTATACCAAGTACACTTCGAACTACAAACGTATCATGTTATGACGGAGCGTTCAGAGTGCATGATGATACACGAGAACATAATGGTTGTTACTCGTGTTCGACATTTCTTCAACGTGAAATATTAATCATAATATCGGAAGAATTGTAGTTTTTCGTGTTTATTTTACGTTTGGAGATGAAACTACCGTAGTAAATGTCTTTAAAGTACCTCTATAGTGTGCATTTTCGATTGATTGTTTACAAAACATTTTAAAACCCAGAAAAAAAAGTGCTCGGTACCGTAAACAAATTAAATTGTTTAAAGCATGCTAAAATAAATACGTTTCATGCCACTTGGAACACACGGACAAATATTGACCAACACAATTCGCACCCCATCTGAGCCCGAATCATATATTGAAGTGCTTTAATTTATGTATGTTCACTGGAAAAATATATAACTGTACTCCATTTTTTTTTTTGGTTGGGCTTAGTAGGTACTACAGTGAAACCTTGGTATCTAGAAGTCACAAGGGACCAAAAAAAAAAAAAATTCAACCTATTGAAATTTTGAGTTACCGAGGGAATTTAAAACATAAATAAAATTTGAAATTTTAAAATAAAAATATTTAATAATGAGGAAAAATGTATATTTATTATATGTACATATTATTGGTATTCGTGATTTGGGTAAGTAAGTATACATTATTTTCTATAAAAGTAGAAAATCTGTCATTTTAGTTCGCTTTTGTTAAGTATTAGAAGTATTATCAATAAAACTACCTAAACTATTAAGCGTAGAAAAAATGTTGTCAGAAACTCCTGACTGTTGATGAACGTATCTTTGAAGTTCATGAATATAAGTCCGTGTAACTTTAACGTCGTTATCGGTCACTAACTGAACTATAATTAAATATCAACGTCTTTACAACGTTGTGTGTACAAGCTCTGATGTTTATTTCATAGTTTATACACTGAGCATTTTATACTTTATCTAATTTATCTAATTTATTAGGCGGTGGGTATCGGATAATGACTTCAACTTATAGAAAAAATCGACTTATGGAAATTCGATGTACCGAAATAAATTAACATGTAAGTCCAATATTGAATGATCGGGACTGTAAACAAATTTGACATACAGAAACTTCGAGATAGCGAGTTTCCAATGTATTATTAATTTCAATTTTATCCAACTAGAGTATAGGAGTTATATGGAGTTATTTTTAAATATGCTGAATAAAGTTTTGCATATATACAATTATGTGAAATCGTATAAAACCGTATAAATTCGTTTGTTACAGAATTCATATTTATTGAACAAAAAAAATTGTCGAAATTCTTGCATTTCATTAATGTTATTTTAAAACCAAAATCAATATCGAAATGCGATTCTTACATTGGACCATTTAAAATCATATTTTTCAAAACCTTAGTTTTTTGAGCGTCGTTCATAACCGCACATTTCAAAAACAAGTCGTCGTTTAAAACCGCACACTTTTATATCTTAATCTCATATATGTCCACCAAATTAAACCGTTTAATACCACACACGTTGATATATATCAATAACGTATACATTTATCTAAAATAACATGAGTGCACCTCGTGACCAGGCGGGGTCACTCGTTCGCTGCGCTCGCTCGGATAGTTAAAAACGAAAATATCCCTCGATTTGCTATGCAACACCACCCTAAATAGGTCACAGGATAAAAAAAACAATTATGAGTGGAAATCATACGAAACGGAAACGTGAACCATACATGCAAAGTATGCAGGGAGAAAGAACTGATAGTCAAATATGTGCGGTTTTGAACTATCGACTTTTCAAATTTCCCTTTTTAACAATAGAATAAATGTGTGCGGTATTGAACGATGTTAAATGTGCGGTTATGATCGATAAGTGTGTGGTTTTTATGACTACCGGTTTTATTACTATTTTTAAATTAGAATACAGTAGTGGTATAAAATAACCACAAACAAGAAAAAAATGGAAAATTGTGGTACTATGGGTGCATGGAGTCTGAAACGATTCACCTGGATCTTTTTCTCCTGCTGTTTGATCCTGTTTTCCGCCTCTTCCAGTTGAGCGGAAAGTTTCTCCCTCTCGCCCAGCTGTTTGTTCTTGGTCAAGTCTAACAGGTGTTTGTGCTTCTTCTGCACAGTCAGCAGCTTTCCGGTCTGGGCTCGGTACCTGTCCTCCAGCTGCCTGAACGCCAACTTGGAGCGTCGCAATCGGGTCTGTATGGACTGCAGCTCCTCGCTGCATGACCTGATCACCATCGGCAGCTCGGCGTGCGAGCTCTCGTACTTGGTTAGCGCGTGTTCATGCCGTCTCTCTATCACTTTCAGGATCCGGTTCTCGGTCGTCAAGTCCTGCGAACACGTACATTCAAATAAAAAAAATAAAAATAATTACCATATTCCGTAACGACTATAATAATATTGGCATCGACGATAACATGCCAGTACATGGACAACCGAAACCGCTACGATTGTCGTGTGTCTAAACACGGTGTCCGGGTGCACGTGTTGAAATTGTTATGTCGATGCACGCGCGCGTTTACAAGTTCCATTGACAATAGATTTAAATGTACCCATGTCTAATGGGGCTTAAAAATTGTTCAGAGGAGAGGGGATATGATAGTGAACAATAGTTTTAATTTTTGTTCTTTAATTTCTTGTAGATTATTATACATCGACTGACAAAACATTTAAAAAAAATTAAATTAAAAGTCAATTTTTTCACAAGATCAACAAGAGATTCAATCAAATATTTAAAGTTAACGGTAAACCTATATTTTGTGGAGAACCCGTTGAAGAGCAATTATCGGTAGTTTTCACGTTGGAATAACTTATTTTTTAGTATTCACTAAATAGGGTTTCTGTACTAATTCAATTTTATCCATACATCGTTCAGATATTATACCGCAATTAATGATAGTAGGTGTTCGTCGAAATGGGTTTTCCTACAAACGCGTTCCGACCATTTCGAACAATGGGTATAGTAGCATTAGCGGTATTGCGTCGAATTTAAGAAACAAATAGAAACAATTATACAAGATTTATGAGACTGCAACACTGTTTTTCCAAGTAGTTTTATCCTCCGTTCGGGGAAACCGTCAAGAAAATCAAAAAGTATTGCATAAAATTAAGAGGATTAGGTAGCGAGCGGACGGCACATGTTCTCGGAATACCGGAAGAAACGTTTAACATAACGTAATCCCAGTGCACGTGGCGTTGACTACAGCGGTAGTCGTCGACTCGTGGTAGAAGGGCTTCTGACAACCCACTCTTATCCCTTGCCTCAACCAAACCCTGAGGATCCGTTTACTGTCGTTGCGCAATATACCGTCGACTCACTTCAATGATGGTCCGGGCGTGGGCCAACTCGTTTTGCAGTTCCTTGACGCGAGACAATCCGCGCAGCATCCTGCCGTTGTGACGTAGCTGGGGCTAACCTAACCGACGTTCACGGACAGCCACACGGGGTCGACTGTCGACGGCACCGGCGGTCGCGCACCGACTGAAGCCAACCACGGTTGTTGGAATTTCGTGGACACGAAGACGGAAAGAAAGAGAGAAATACTGAGGGGTAGAGAAGTAGAGAGAGATGGATAGACGAAAGAAAAAACGATTTTCGTTAAACTGTTGGTTCCGTTGCTACGGCGCCGCACCGACCAACGGAAAATCGTCAGAACTATGATTATGTGCCGTTTGAAACTTACCACGCTGTCGCCGTGCTTTTTAATTGATTCGATAACCGTACCGACCGGCGAATGCACAGTTGCTGTTTTTGTTTTCCCCTTCAAATGCGATAATATTAATCAAGAAAACAATATATACAGCGTACGAATAACGAGCGCAACGATGTACTCGAACGTTTCCTTCGGATATCGGTTAATATAAATTTACCGTATTATTAATATTATTATTACTGTGTTGGTATTGCGGTCTTATCGAAAAACGACGATGAAACGAGAGAAATTTTATATGTTATATTATGAATAAATAAAGCACTATATTTTTTAACGTATTTCCATAACGATTGGTTGTATGGTTTACTTTGTCAACACTCAATACTTGAGTTTTATTCTTATTTTTTTTTTTTTTTTAAATAACTTAAAAATGAAAAGAAAAAAAGAGAAAAGAAAGTATGGAAAAGTGAAGAGGGAAAGGGGAGAAGATGGGGATAAGATTTGGATAGTGGTAGTGAGTCTAGATTGATTATCTTCCTTCTTGTCCAAGAGACTACTTTCGGAGTTATGTAGGTTCGAGTGGCCTATGGACAAGAAGCGCGTTATATACATGTATGTTTTGCAAACTGACGGCCTTTGGCCAAAAGCTCACGAAAGTGTTTTGTACCCTTAGGGAAGTATGGTGGAATGGGCCTTGATCCGGTTCTTTAAAGGTTTAACCTACTCAGGATGTCAATGATTGGATTAGGCTTTTAATATCTGAATTGTGTTGTTTGTGCGTGTATCGAAGGAATCGTTATTTATTGATTGGACTAATACATTTGTACCGAATACAACGCAAAATGCCAGTTTCCACTAAGTGCGGGCCCGCCATTACATTTCAATCATATACAAGGACGGCGCGAGGGGGTGGGTAATAGAAGCAGTTGCCCAGGGCCCCGCGCTTTAAATTATAATTAAGGCCCCGTGGTTCTGATTTAACTGAACTTAAAATATTGTATTAATATAGATTATAAGACCCAACGTTTATTTTGCCCAGGGCCTCGCAAACTTTAGCACCGTCACTGATCATATACATACAATCAATACATCAAATCAATTTAAATTCCAAAAATAAATAGAATAGCGAGTATAGTAAAAATGTTAATCAAACGTCTGTTAACAAACGATAAAATTATAGTCGATAACAACAATGACAGATTTGAACGCATTTTTTCGTAAGCAAAGCATGCAACATTCATGCACACTTGTCTTCTCAGCATTTATCGATTGTACAAAAAAAAAATGTTTTATGACATGCATCGATACACGTCCATTCAATAACGATTTATCGTCAGATCATGACAACAGTGATAATATGATTTCAACGACACGCGATCCCGTCAAACTCGGTTCACCGGTACGTGTTCATCAATTGAACAATTCGTTTGTAACCACCTAACCGTCTTGCGGAAATAATCTAAAATGTGTTTACGCGATATTTCTCGCATATCACGCTGTAGCGCGAAACGAACAGCGCAATATTATTCGATAAATCAATTGATTGTACGGACATAATTAGTCGGCAATTAGCGCACGACGCCCACTGGCTGATGAAAATGTTTTAGAGAATGTTTTGACGTTCACAGGACCTAGGTGGCCGCGCATCGTTAACGGTATGAACAGTAAATTACGATACCGAGTAAACTTTGCCGGACACTTCCGCCCTGGCACTTATTGGCATCGTCATCGATTCCCAACCGAGCCAAGATAACGTTACGTGAATTAACGGCGCGACAACAATGTATTTATTTGTTAATTGTATTATAATGACGTGCACCGGTGCTTTTCGGACGCGCTCTGTCAACGTTTGTTCGCGTTGTGTGGTTTTCTCACTAAGAACTATATCCATAACCGATCGCTTTCTAATATATTTCTAACGCCGCGACTGGAGAATTTCACGGAATGCATTTTTTTTTTCAACAAAATATCTCATGTTATTAAAACCAAAATTATAATAATTATTTCATTTAATAAATTACATTAATAGACATAACAAAACATATATGTTTATAATTATTTTTATTTCATTTAATTTTTAAGTTAACTTGAATTTATTTATTTTAGTGTTAATTTATTTTTTAATATTCTTAAAATTTAATTTTTATTAGCTTAATACGATGGTCGAAACACAAGTTTTATAACATCGTATAATGATAAAATCTATCTATTATATAAAAAAAAATAATAACAATATTAATTCAACAATATTATAACAATGCACTCATGTCATGTATTGATGTACATATGTTATGTGTTAGGGCTGCCGCGGACCCCTAGAGGGCCGCAGACCACAGGTTAAGAACCACTGGTATACGATAACAAGTTCTTGGAATTTAAAAAAATCTAAAAATAAAAATTTCGAAGAATTTTAAATGAGACTATAATATTTATCTCGGAATTAACAAATAATCAATAGGGGTCCCACCGTTCTCGGGAAAAGTATTCAACCGTCTTTAGACTATTGAGTAAAAATAGCCATGCCACCCACGAATCCATTGTCATGAAAAGTGGCCGTAAATCTATATTACAAAAATAGGTACATATTATCATTTACTAAATAATTCTTAATAATAATTGTACTAATTTTATTTTTGTGTTCTACTAGCTATCAAATCCCACATTATGCAAAATGTATGCGGCTGTTTCCTTTGACTGCTAAACGAATTTGATATAAACAAGATTCTTCCCCCCCTAACGGCATTTATTTTCCCTCTACAACATTTTTTATTATTATATTTTTCTTTGATACCGGAAATTAGCGTACTATTAAATTTAAAATAAACAAATTTAATTAAATTTATTTTTACCAACTATTTATGTTAAATTTTAACATATGGGCTTACGCGAACCGTCATCTATAAGGCGCTGCTTAAATGAGAATCACAAACTGCTTTGTTCACATTGTAAATTTGAGTAGACCAGGACATTTTGGACCATATGGAATCTATATTCAAATTAACAAAATTACGGTTTAGATCGATTTTCAACGATTTTCAAAGAAAACACGCCGGTTCGACGATTTTTTTTTTTATCTTGCAATTTAATTTTTAATGATAAATATAATATTATTTTCTTAAATAAGTTTCGTTTGAAAAATAAATGTTTAATTTTTCCACTTCAAAACATACAGCGAAACTTCAGTCGCAAGTCAATTTCCTGAAAAATATAAGCCTAGTATTTACCTTTTGCAAAAAATATATAAATAAACGTATTATAAATGTATTATAATAAATGTTGTGAATCGGATTCAAAACAATATTTAGATACAAAGTCTAAACAGGAAAACGAAAAAAAAAAAAAGAAAAAAAAGTTGCATGTAATATATCAAATTTTTCATATTTCGTAATGAAAACGTTAATAGCGTTTATAGAGTGCACCGTTCGAGTACAAATCGTATTCGATGGCATAGGCGCACTTGCCATATGTTATAAGCGACGAACGTTGGTAAAACTCAGTTATGAACATTGTTCCACTGCCGTTGACTCGTCGTGTTAAAATGTCGTTCGCGAAAAGTGTATATCTCTGCCGGCAGTGGGCAATTTACACGGATACACACGGTAGAACAAACTTTAAAATCATTCTTCTGTAAAATTACAAATTCATCGCTTACAACATTTGTGCGCTACGCCGTCAATTTAATATACGTGTGACATGTGATTTGTGCAAGCGTTTAAATATATCAAAACGTTATACGTAATAACTAAGTTCTCGTATACGCATCTAAGTATTTTACGGATGAAAGCGATAAATATGAAAGAATATTAAGAAAAGCCGTTATGTAAGTAGTACATACAAGCAGCTTGTTGAAATTTTTGAAAAAACTTAAGCTACTACTGTTGTGAGTGTTGTGAGAGTAAAAATTAAATTTTAATTTATAGAAAACGACGGTGACCGAATCGAGAAACCCTCAACTAAATTTACCATAACATCGATAATAATAATTTCAATAGTAACGTATAGGTACTCATTCGTACTGTATAACCGTCCGTGCAAAATGTTATTTAATATATTTTTCTTTTCTTTTTTTTCCAAAATTATGTGCACGCTCCGATATCAAATTAATCATGGTTATCATCATAGTTGTTATAGAGTTTTAAAAACTATTTTGCTTCATCGTTGAGAATTAAAATACAATTCTGGTCAATAATTTTTATAGTCATTTATCCAATACACAAGATACCAGAAATATCCCTCATTGGAATATTATTAGAATAACTTACATGAACATAAGTCCATGAAAATTTAAATAAATTTACAGAACCGGTTAACCTTAAAAATGTAGGGACCGGAACTCCAACCGTAACGTAAATTTCAAAATATTTAAAACCCGAAACATTAAATGTAGCTTTAATTAAGAAACAATCAAATTTGCTTAATAATAATATTTTGTTATTCGGCATAGAAAAATATAAGTTAATTTTTTTAAAGTTTATATTCTCTTGTGTTGTAATGCATAAATGTATCATTTTTTTCTACTTTGGTCAATGAAGTCGTACTTCGTATATGCAATCGGGGAAATATTAATTATAAATAATAATGTAAATTACCGGTAAAAATATATATTAATATCATAAACACAGATAATCTGTAACTCGAGTTAACGACTCTGATACAGACATAATATTGTTCAACGTTGAAAAACTAAAAATAGTAAAAATGTATTCAATTGCTGAATTAACATATAAAATCTGTTCTGCAAACCTATAAGTATCCATATTTACCTATTTACTAATGTACTAATTTTTAGGTATAATCATAATGTTAAAAAAATGG